CAGGCCAGATGCTGTTGTCATCTGCCAACGGAACTGGCAGCAGATTCGGACAGTGAGGAGGTTGGGGAGGAACGTGGGCCAGTCCTGGAATCTGAGGAAGGCTCTGATGAGGACTCTGTGTCAGAGGCAGGGGGAGGAGGGGTCAGAGCCATATGCCAGTTATCAGCTGCCTTCAGAGTCAGACATCAGTGAGGCAGATGAACAGCTGGAGCCTGTTCCCAGTGTGTGCATATGCAGAGCGTCCAGACGAAGGGAACAGCTAAAGAACAGGGGTCGACTTGGGAGTAAAGCCACAAGTGGACGGTGAATGGCCCCTCCCAGAGGAAATAAAAGAGGAACGAAAGGGGAGTGGAGTTTGCAGGAGACCATTAGTTCGCTTCATTATTTCGTGACTCTCCGAGACTCCTGGCCAAGTTCTGCCGAGATCGGCCTGGCAGCTCTCCAAGCCTGATAAGGTCTGTGACCGTAAATCCTCCCTTGAAAGACTTTGCTGGATGTGAATGAGCAGAATTAATAAAAGGGGTTTTTGCCAGGAAAAGAGTTGGCTTCAGGCTCTCGGGAAGCCGCGATCAGAACAGGCCTTGCCATCCCAAGTAACACTTAGAAGGCTGCCCGCCAAGCACAATGCGCTAACTCCTCCCTTCTCTTCATATGGACTAGAAACTCAGGACCTGTAAGGGGCAAGAAATGGGGCCAAGAGGAAGAGGAGAAAACCCTGAAAAACTGCGCACGCCGCACATGGGTGTTGTTTTGCCTTAACCATCAGACCAAACGTCCCTGGACAGAAACTATAACTCCCGAGAGCACCCACTCGGCCTACTGACAAGGTAGCTTGGGAATGGTCATTCCCAGCTCCTGGAAAACCATAGGTTCCCCCCTTCAGATGTTTCAATGAATGGGAGGGGGAGAGAGGCTTTCTCAAGCCGTACGTGGCTCCCTAAAGAATCTCATCTACTAAGAAACGGCGCACCCTTCTCAAGCCATACGAGGCTCCCTAAAGAATCTCATCTACTAAGAAACGGCGCACCCTTCGTCGGTTTTATGTTTTAAAAACAACAACTTTTGAGGTAGACCCTCCCAGCTCAAAAATAAATTGTAAAAAATATACTGTATACCGAAACTTATCCGATGTAGAGTGGTTCTACAATCCCCAAAATTTCAGCATGCTAGGAAAGTCATCTACACAAACACCAAAACCTCGGATAATATTCCAGAATATTTTGCCGTATCAACGCAATATTAATTCCGGCATATTTGACATTTTAAGCGAGGCGGGACCCAGCCAGACAGCTAAGAAAACTGCCTAAAACCCACCTCTTCTTTAAGAACAAGGCAGCGAAACAAACCATGGTTAAAAGCTCAGAGAGCGACGGAAAAAAACGATGTTCCAATCCTATGTTGGTTTGTATCCTTTCAATAAAGGGAATTTACTAGAATTGTATTTGCACATAATTGGAAGGGTGAAGAGACTCCCCACAGATGAAAAGGTGTTTAAAAAAAGTATTAGAATGTGCAGAAATGAATAGATTAACACTTGCAATTAAAGGAAAGGAAGAATCTGATTATTATCATAGACGGGAGCTATTTTATCAATGGTTATGGAATAAATATGACGCCTTAACCGCCAGGCCAAACAGACTCGCTAGAGCGTCCCTGGACAGAAACTATAACTCCCGAGAGCACCCACTCGGCCTACTGACAAGGTAGCCTGGGAATGGCCCTTCCCAGCTCCTGGAAAGCCACAGGTTCCCCCCTTCAGGTGTTTCAATGAATTGGTGGGGGGGGGGGGAAGAGAGGCTTTCTCAAGCTATACGATGCTCCCTAAAGAATCTCATCTACTAAGAAACGGTGCACGCTTTGTCGGTTTTATTTTTTAAAAAAACCCAACAACTTTTGAGGTAGGCCCTCCTCGCTGTTTTATCAATGGTTATGGAATAAATATGAAATGAATGTATTATAAAGTGAAATAAATTAAGAAGAGAAATGTTATAATAAAAGATATGCGATGTTTTAAGTACTAGTATTAAAATAAGAATATATATANGCCTGCTTTCCGGGTCCACTGGCGGAACCTCCTCTAACCGGTTCGGTAGATTTGACGAACCGGTTCTACCGAATAGGTGCGAACTGGTAGGAACCCACCTCTGCTTCAGATGCTTCTTAATATTATATTGTTTCTTAAGTTTGAGTATGAAAAATGATACTCAATTCATTTGAAAAACGCAAACCAATTGCTGGAAGTCTTATGGATGTTTTCCCTTATCTGTGTTGCAGTAAGCTAATAGTCTTACGGAATTCTGAAACTATTGCTAAATTTATTTTAATCATTCCAGCTGTTATATCAGATCCAATGGCATAATGAAAGTAAATGCATGCTTGCATGACAAATCAAACTTTATGCGTAGCATAATTTGTTTTGTGTTTGTTCTCATGAGGCTGGGTCAATGTATTTAAACATACTCTCTAATAATTTAAAATTTATAAGAAGCACACATAATGAAATGCCTGGCTGACTTCAGCATATATTTCAAATAAAAACAGCAAGGGCATTTTTAAAAATGATATTAAAATTGATTCCTGTTTGTGTAAGAATAATTGAGAGTAAATTGAAATCAAAGGCAGTAGCACTAGCATATTAAATAGCCAATTATAAGTGTCCTGTCTCAACATGTGACTCATGATTCATTTGGACTTTGGAGGGGAGACTCCTCTTGATTTTCAATGATGTATCATGAGTCACGCTGCAAAAACTAGGTGGAACCAGGACAAGGAAATGGATCTTACCAGAAAGAAGCTAAAATAAATTACATTAATGAAATACTGTAAATATGATTGTTTCATGCTAATTAAAAAAATTCCCCCTTGGTTGTATTAATAATTATAATTTAGTGGTATTTTTTGCAGTGGCTCTGAGGGTTTCACCCAAGGCTTGAAGTTTTGAGGTGTCTTGTACACTCTAATTACACTCTAGGTACGCTATATATAGAGTTGCTCGTGACCAGACAAATGCGCGAACGACAAAAGCGCGCCGACAAAACCGCGGCACTAAAACCGCGATGTCAAAAGCGCGCCGACAACAGC